GCGGCGAGAGCCGGTCAGCTGTTCGAGAGGTTACAAATCTTTAGCGAATTTTTCCGCATCATGCGATGAATCGGTTTTTATCCAATTAAGCGTATATAAAGCCCCAAGTTTGGTCTTCCGAACACGAGGGGATACGCCTAAGTTTGTCTCGTCAAACTCCTATGGCTAAGTGAGAATGATAAAGCCGAATAGTCCGATTGCCTAGTTCGTTGCGCTGAACACTTCCTTAAAGGACCAAAACCTTGGATAAAGAGTGTTTAGATTCATCCCGAACACCCCCGTACTACCTACGTGGGGGCAGAAGCCGATGACTGGCATTTCTTAGATTTATTAAAACGGCTGCACAGGAGGTGTAGTTTTAAACAAACTTTACACTACATAAATGAACTGTTTTATATTACAGGACAGGATAAACATGAGTGTATTCATGGGAATATGATATCCTTAGCACATTGCTCCGCCACAAGGCGGGACCCCTCCATGACACTATCATAATACAACTCGGGCTTGCGATGCTCCTTGCCTTCTGGTTGTCCTTCGGTCATCAACTTCGTGGCGTCCATCTTCGCCCAGTGCGTCTTAGCGCGGGTGAAGGCCATTCGTGCACCTTCAATGCAGACAGACTGTTTAATGGCATCAAGCCAAGGATAGGCACTGACTAGCTGCTTCACGAGTCCAAAGTAGCTACTAGGAATAGCTTCGGCAGGCCATAGCCAGATTATCAAATCCTTCATGGCTAGTTCGGCCGCTTTATGCAGCTTGACCAGTTGTTTCAGCTGGTCGCTAAAAGGCACTGGAGGTTCTGACGCAAGGTATTGCGACCAGAACAGCTTCTCCGTAGAGCTTCCCTCTTCGACTCGATAGAATTCTGCAGCATCTGACACGCTGCGCGGCAGAACCACAAACACCCCTGGAGAGCTCCAAATTCGGGTCAGTAAAAGGAACGTTTCCCTCACATATTTGCTCTGCATTATAAAAGCCTTACCCGTTGCGATCTTTTTGGCAGCCTGGATTTCCTGGAGGGCGCCTTGGGCTTCGGCTCGGGCATCTTGTGTGCTCTGGCGGGCCTTCACAAGTTCGGACTCTTGCTCCTTAAAATCACGCTCCAGGGACTCGCATCTTTCGACTGCGTCCTAGAGCTCTTGCTGGACCTCCTTGACCCGGGCTTCATGCTTTTCACATGCGGCCCGCTCCTTGGACGCCTTGTCCTCGGCTTCAGCCAGCTCCTTTGTGAGGGTCGTTACTTCGGTCACGGCCCCTAATAAATATAAATGACACTTTAAGTCAGAACAAAACGTTCGCCGTATCAGAATTTTGATACAAATCAACGCATACCTTCGCTTTCTTTTAGCTGCTCCTTTACGCGGCCGAGCTCTTCCTCGGCCCGCTCCAGACTCTGCTTCAGTCCGGTGACTTCCGCAGTATGAGCGGATGCAGCTGGCAGCGATGCCTGTTTGTTCACATAAACATTTTAAATTAGTCTCCTGCGAAATTCATTTGATCCTTTGTTCGGCTTTTCTTTCCAAACACCGAACCGAGCATCAGGGGCTACTTCCTATACTGTGACATTCCCTTTTAAGTCGTGTGGCTTACCTCGAGGCTTGTTAGAAGGCTCGTACACGCTTCGGTCAGTCTGCTTTTCGTGGACTGAATCCTCTCAATCACCACACCCATGAGGGTGTGGTGTTCCTCCACAATGGAAGCGCCTCGCAGCGCTTCCAGCAAATTGTCCGGCGCCTCTGGATGGACGGAGGCTACCAGTGGAACAGGCACGCCCCCTTCATTCAAGGGTTGCTTGCCTTATTCTGGATCCACATGGATCTCCGGAATAGTATTCGGCTGGGGGGCGGATTCAAAGTAGCCCCCACCGCCAGTCTTTGTGGGGACTTGGTCCCCCATATGTTCGGTGGGCGAGGTTCCACCCTCCGACACCACCGGGCAGGCCTCCTGGGCCTCTCCCTGGCCCGGGATCCCTCGAGACAACACCGCGGTGTTGACCGCGACCTTGGGGGAGGAGGCCATTGGAAGGGACCCCCTATCCATCGCCGATGGGTCCAGCGATCCCTCCGAAGAGGAGGATATCTCGATGTTGCACTGAGCCGGACTGCAAGTGCATGACCCCGCATGTTAAAAACAATGCAGTAAAAAGGCCGGATACATTATTGTGTTCGGATACTTACAATTTAGCCAGGGGCTTGACCCTGGGCGCCCATTCCTGGCTGCTGTCGGTAGTTGTCCTGGGACAGTCCGAAGGAGAAGTTTTCCCCTTCTTGGACGCCCTGGCCTCCGAATGAGTGGAGGCCACCCTCTTTTTTCTCCCCCCCCCCCTACAGGGGGGGCGGATTTCTTCTTCTTCCTCCTCCTCTTCCACGTCGTCTTCGGTGGTGGAGGAGCGATCCTCGGCGTCTTCGGACACTGTGTCTGAGGCGCCCTTGCGACGGAGACCGTCTCTGGTCCCCTGGGCCTTCTTCTTGGCCTTCTTCTCCGGTACCTCGTAAGGTGCCGGAAAAAGTATCTTCGTCAGAAGTGGGGTTTCTGTGCCTTCGGGCAGCGGAGCCAGACAGTCAATCCGCTCCGCTATCTCTATCCAGGCCTGAATAAATCAAGGGGGAAGCTTAGACTCCCGCCTCAAATATGCATGTAAAAGGTATAACTTGAAAAATATGTAAAAACTTACCGGATTAGCCTGGCGTTTTGAGCTAAGCCCACAATCCTCGGTCATGGGCGGTGGTGTCTCTTCGGCCTTAAAAAGCACTTTCCAGATATCTTCATGCATTGTGCCGAAGAGCTCTAGGAGCGTCTGGTGCTTGGCCGGATCGAACTCCCACGAATTGGAGGACCTGTGTTGGCACGGAAGGATTCGGTGAATGAGCATGACTTGTACCATGTTGACAAGCTTGATTTTCTTGTTTATCATGTTTTGGATGCACGTCTGGAGCCCGGACACCTCGTCCGAAGAGCCCCAGGTCAGGCCCTTCTCTTGCCAGGAGGTGAGCCGCATTGGGAATCTGGATCGGAATTCGGGGGCCGCCGCCCAGTTAGTGTCGCGCGGCTCGGTGATGTAGAACCACCTCGACTGCCACCCCTTTACCGTGTCCACAAAGGAGCCTTCGGGCTAGGTAACATTGGGCATCTTACCCACCATAGCGCCTCCACACTCCGCTTGCTGACTGCTCACCACCTTCGGCTTCAGATTGAAATTCTTCAGCCATAACCCGAAATGGGGTGGGATGCGGAGAAAGGCCTCACACACGATAATAAATGCTGATATGTTGAGGATGGAGTTGGGGGCCGGATCATGGAAGTCCAGCCCGTAATAATGCATCAGTCCGCGGACAAATGGGTGGAGGGGAAATCCCAGCCCGCGGACGAAGTGAGAAACGAACACTACCCTTTCTTGGGGTTATGGGGTAGGGACAATTTGTCCCTTGGCCGGAAGCCGATGGTTGACCTTCTTGGCTAAGTATCCGGCCTCCCGGAGCTTCTTTATGTCCTTCTGCTTGACGGAGGAGGCCATCCACTTGCCTCTTGCTCTGGATCCGGACATGATCGAAACGCTTTTTTGGGCGGAGAAGGCGAAAGCTTGGGCCCTAGAGCTCGAGAGGGAATGAGCAGAGGAAGAAGAAGGCGTGGGTGAAAAGGGGGAACCCTTGTCCCTTTATAAAGGCAGTAAAATCATGCGCCTCCCCACTCTCCCTAAAAACTAGCTTTTTCCCCAAGCGTCGTGCTGATGGCACGGTTGGGTTATCCATACCTGCATTGATGAGATCCCATGATAAGGGGACACGATCTCTGCTTTGACAAGACGTGCCAATAAAACCGCACCTCGAAATACAGAGGGGCAGGATAAAAACGGTTCGAATAAAGATCGGTCCATGGTGTGATGTCACGCTGTGAGTTGTCAGCAGATTGGACTCGTGGGATATTATACTCTCTACAGCTGTATGTGGAAATTTTTTTGCAGAGTCGGACACCATTCTTATGTTCAAAGTCTACTTGGGAATATTCGCAGAAGGAACCCGCCTTGCAATGCCAAAAACAATCTGCGCGCCGGACTCATCGTCATTGAAGCCTGGTTCAGGGGCTACTGAGGGAGTCCTGGATTAAGCGGTTCTTGGACAGCCGGACTATATGCATGTGTCGGACTGTTGGGCTATGAAGATACAAGATAGAATACTTCGTCCCGTATACGTATGGGACTCTCCTTTGCGTGGAAGGCAAAGTTGGCTATTCGGATATGTAGATTCATTTCTCTGTAACTAACTCTGTGTAACCCTAGCCCCCTCCAGTGTCTATATAAACCGGAGGGTTTAGTCCGTAGTACTACAACAATCATAATCATAGGCTAGCTTCTAGGGTTAGCCATTACGATCTCGTGGTAGATCAACTCTTGTAATACTCATATCATCAACATCAATCAAGCAGGAAATAGGGTATTACCTCCATAAAAAGGGCCCGAACCTGGGTAAACATTGTGTTCCCCGCCTCCTGTTACAATTAGGCTTAGGGGCGCACAGTTCGGGACCCCCTATCCGAGATCCGCCGGTTTTGACACCGACAATCACCTTCTACTCCCGAGCTCGTTTGAGCTCGGGACGAACAGTAAATTCCAAAAAAGTGAAAAAAAACATTCAAAAAATGGTAATTTTTTTTGAGTGCAAGCTTTGAAAAATGCTCCCAGTGCTTGTAAATTTTCACGTCAAAATAACATTCCTGCAAGTCATGGCAAAAAAATACTACACTCCAAAATGTTTTTCGGATTTTTTACCACAACTTTCATGAATGTTCTTTCAAAATAAAATTTTGTATGAACTGAGAAAATTTGTCAAAGTATGCACCAATTAAAAAATCAGAGTTTTTGATTTATTTTATAGTTTTTTTCCGATTTTACTTTTTATTAGGAAGCCTATGAGGTCGTATAGCCCACACTCCCACTCGCTCACTCGTCGCTCCCAGCATCCCAACCAAACCCTCGATCCCCTTCCATCACCCTCGCCGCCATGGACCCGCCGCCGCCGCCGGCCTCCATCCCCCTCCCCGACGAGCTCCTGGAGGAGATCCTCCTCTGCTTGCCCACGACAGAAGCGGTCGCCCGCGCCTTCGCCGCCTGCACATCCTTCCGCCGCGTCATCAAAGACCGCCCCTTCCGCCGCCGCTTCCGCGCGCTGCACCGGCCTCCCCTCATCATAGACACTATTAAATCTATGACTTGGTTGGCGGTCACATTTGAAACCTTGGAGTTAGTTACATTTTCTCTTCGGTACTTTAGCTTAATCTCGTTTGATATTGCTATAACTGTAATGGGTACTTGCTTTGAGCCCTTAACTTTGTACATGACAGTTCTTGTTTTTTCACAAGTCAAAGAGCCCTCCTTCAAGTGCTTCATTTGTACAGGTGGAATTTTTTTTAATTTTGTCTCTTATGGGCAATGCAATCAGAATACTAAATTACATATGAAAACTTATGTTCCATATATATATATATATATATATATATATATATATATATATATATATGGCCCTGTTTCAAGTGTTCCATTTATACCGCGGCGATACCAAGATATCATACTATTCATTCAAGCATCTCGATCCCTCTTAATAGTGTGATTGTTCTTTAACTCAAAGAAACCAAGACAAACTGCTCGTCATCCAAAAACCACACATTTTTCCTTTACGAGGGGGGAGCCATCTCCTTGAAATAACCTCCTAGGAACCAAGGTTTCACTAACCATATTGTCATCACACCAAAACACTGTTCATGAATAAATGCACTTTCAATGACAATGCTCGCGGCCACCACCACCACTACCGTCGATAAGAGCTGGGCGGTCTTTCGCCCAGAGAATCTCGATAACCAACCTCACGCATCCGGCCAACGTTGGCCTGCACCTCGACTAACCCGCACAACCCTACATCATGAACACACCATCACCATAGAGAGAATACCTTTCCACCGGGCTGCCAACAACACTAGCGAGCAACACCCTCGACCGCCCACCGCCAGGTAGCTGACGGAGGCACCTGTGCATGTCATCCGCTAATGAGCATGATCTAGCCGGAACTCAGCCGGATCTAGCATCTCACTGTGGCTATGCTACCACATAAACCACCAAAGGCCAACATGGCGCCGTTGCGTGGCGAGCTCTATCTGAGCAAGAAGGGGGTAGCAACTCTGCCTCTGCACGTCAAAGAGAATATCGGCTCGAGGCCAGAGATTTCAAATGTGCAAGTATAATTCAAATGAGAATTTAATTTAGCCAGAGATTTTACTGTGTAAACAAAGTTGAAATGATTTTTTTTATGTATAAGGAGGAGAGAATTACGAGGCTTTAAACTACAAATTTCATTTCAAACGTTATGTAGCTTTAAGCTACAATTTTTC